TTCCAAGCAGGAGCTCCTCTCTGGTCTGCATGTTGCCATGGCACCCTATGCCTTTGTCACACTGTGTTTTTGTTGTTTATTCATACTTTTTCTTTCTTCATGTAGTCTATGGAATACCTAAAATTAAGAATAATATCTGACATTTACTTTTATGATGGCATTCACCATGCCCAGAATATAACATGCGTTCAGAAATGTGTACAAATGAATGAGTATAAATATAGGGCACTCTGATGTACTTGGCATAGAAAGTAGACACAGTCTCAGCCTTCTGCCTTCCAGAAGAAAGACTATGGAAATAAGATCTCTATATCTAAATATATTTCTGCATATATGCACACACACACATATATATATTTATATCTTGTAAATCATCATTTTCTTTCCTTTCTTAAAAGTCAAATGCTTGTACCCATCTTACATTTTATCATACTTTATATAGATATCATTCAGTTTCAGCTTGCGCAAACTGCTCTTAGTTTTCTTCCTAAATTATCAGCCCCAGCAACAGATTTTGTCTTGTGAGCATACCTATTCCACATCTTTTAAAATGACCCTTTAAAACTCTATAAATTCATACATATATATATTTATAATTTTAATTATCATTTAATCTTATGCAAAAGGGTGTTTTGCTTTCATGTATGTTTGTTTATCATGTATATGCCTGATGCCTGATGAGGGAAGAGGAAAGTCTTAGAAACTCCCCCACCCAGGACTGGAGTTACAGAGGGTAGAGACACTTTATGTGTGTTCTGGAAATCAATCCATGTCCTCTGGAAGACCCACCTTTCCCAACCCCACATATATGTATTTACATTACTACATAAATCTTCTTCCTTCAATTTACTGGTGAGAAGGTTAAGTCAGCACTTGGATTCTGGAACCAGATTTTTTTGGATTTAAAACACAGACTCCCAGTGTGGTTATGTGGCCACTTAAAGCTCTTTTATTTAGTTTTATTACCTGCAAGACTGAGGTAGCAATTATCCCTTCAGTTGTGAGCACTAAGTATTAATAAATACAAAGTGCAAAGGATCATGTAGCGAGAGTCAGTTCTATGCACATGCTAGTAATTACCATGTATTCACTGCCAACTTGTAGTTGTGAATTTTGATGTGTGTTAATTGCCAGAACTGCCACATATATGACCTGAACTTGTCTTTAAGTCAAGTGATGTTTTATACAATGATACATACAACAGAAAGTTAACTCTGACTAAAGGTGTAATATGAATCACAGCTTATCTTTGTAAAAGCATTAAGCAATCTGTTCCATCTGCCTGCTCTGCCTGCTGCACTGTTGCGTTATTAAATGTCCTACTCCATTGCAATACATTTCCTTTTGGGTATATCCTGTCCATCAGACTTTTTTTTTTTTTTTTTTTTTTGCCCTTGGAAAGTGAAAGTTTATTCTGTTAATTTTCTTCTGCTGTGGTCTTAGAATTTTATTGTGGATCTCACAGTCTCTTCGTACACCTGTAAAGCAGGGACACCAACAGTTCTCCTAAACATTTTGCAGCCTATTGTTTGTACCTTAATTAATATTCTCACTTTAACTTTTAATTTACTGCTGGTTTCTTTGTATATGTGCAACTACCGATAGTTTCTTCGTAATTTCAATAATTATCGTTGCATATAAAAAGGGCAGAATTAACTTTTCTTCTTAACCATCCCCCCTTCTTCTAGTTGGGCAATATTTGCCTTGGGCAGTACAGCATTTGCTCACTCCACATGTTTTACATGGAGTCACTCAGCCCTCGCTACCTTCGTGGCAGATACTGGCATGTTGTGCTCTTTGATACTGGGAACAGTGCCTCCACTTGGACACAATAGTTCATGGTCTGAGCCAGGGTGTACTTGGGCTGAGGTTCTGAATCAGAGTAATTGGCAAAAGAAAGCCAGTGTTTATACTGGGATAGATAAGAGTCTGAAACCTAAGCCTGGAGCTGCTGAAAGTCACCTTGCTTCCAAGAAAGGAGAGACTGAGAACTGGGACTACACCAAGAACGCAGAGCTTCAGGACAGAAAGCAACTCCAAGGCCTGATGAAATATGCCTGGATCTTGTTTCTGGCAGCTTAGCTTTGTGAGCCATTAAATTATCTTTTCACTTCAATTGGATTGTCATTTGCAACCAAAGACACCTAATTAATTTAACTTAGAAAATACAGAAAGGTTATATTTGAGATGAGAATGCCTTTTCAAGCAGTGGGAGGGAGCAAAGATGTGGAGGAAATTGGAGATAGAAGAGAAATGGGGCAAAGAAAGGCAAAGGGGCAATTTAACTTCCATCTATATGCTGATGAGCCTCAAATGTGTGTCCATTCCAGATCCCTTGTCTGAACTCCAGACTCGTATATCAAATAACTCATTTCACTTTCTGTTTGGATGGATCCATGGAGGCCTATCCACAGATCTAGAGTCAAATACTGGCTCAGACCCTAGACCTTCCTCTATTAGCTGTTTGACTTTGACCAAGCTTCTTAAACTCTCATGGCTTTGCCATTTTTATCCAGATCATAGAAAGTGTGGTTGTTTCAATTTTATGGCATAATTTAAGAAGATTTCAATTTTGACAGTTACTTGGGTTCTATTACTCATCTCTAAAAAGTTAGTTTTTACTCAATATTCAAAAATACTTTTCTTAGTATATGTTCTTCCCTATCTTAGTCAGAGATAACCCCCTCAAGTCAATTTCAGGGAGGTGGAGATTAGATTTAGATTTATTCCAGTAAATAGGCTCAGTGCATAAAGGTGTTTGCTACCAAGCTTGACAACCTGAGTTCAATCTCCGGGACCCATGCATAATAAGGAGTAAACTGAGTTCCAAAAGTTGTCCTTTGACCTTTTCATATGTGCCATTCTGTATCTCTCTCTCTGTCTCTCTCTCTCTGTCTCTCTCTCTCTGTCTCTCTCTCTGTCTCTCTCTCTGTCTCTCTTTCACACACACACACACACACACACACACACACACACACACACACCAAGAAATCAGAAATAGACTATTTGGGGAAAGAAAGAGAAGCAGTGAGATTAGGTATGCATATATGTACATATGTATGTATGTATGTGTGTATGTGCATATATGTGTGTGTATGTATGCATGTATATAAATAAAGAAGCAAGTGATGAATTAGAAGAAGAAAAGTAATTGAATCTCTGTAGGTGCAACCTAAATAATGGCAGCAAGAGAAAAGTCAAGTGACTCTACAAAGATAAGGTAACAAAGGACGTCTTTTTCTACTGCTGTGGTTGGATAGATAAGATGAAAAGCACTCTCTTTGATCTTTCTTCTACCTCTCTATCTGACCTATTAGCAAAACCTGTCAGTCAACTTGCAAAATTTATGTTGAATTTATTACAGTTTTAAGCACAGCACCTGGGGAAGGTTTCACCAATCTATCAGCATCAGCTAATGAGACCAGCTTTACTTTCCTTCCTTATAACATTCCTGGATTTATTTTTCTGGTGATTGTGGTTTAGAGAGGCTGTAAAGAGTCTCTGAAGCTAAAATTGATAGTAAATTCATTACTGGTAACCATGGCTAGTATCTGTTTCAAAGCAAGGTTGTTTGGTTGCCAGTAGGATATCAGAATAAATAAAAGGATTTTGAGGTGGAAGACTTAAAAAAGAAAAGATTGATATTTTTCTGTTTATCTTAGTATTTTTAAGACACGATGAACTTTAATATCTGAACTCACTCCAGAAGGGTCTCCATTTAAGATTTGAAAAGTATGGAAAACAGCAGCTCCATCCTCATTACCAATAACCTCCTAAGTCCCTTGAAAACTAGTTTACTCTTTCACTATCCCCAGGATTATTTTATTTTATTTTATTTTATTTTGAGATAGAGTCTCACTGGGTAACCACATATGATTTAGAACTCACCATGTCGAACAGGCTGGCCTTAAACTCACAGATATTCCTGCCTTTGCCTCCTGAGTTGTGGGATTAAAGGTCTGTCCCACCTTGGCCTCCTACAGATGCACACGTAACACCTGTTCCCATAACTGTCACACACTGCATGATTTATTTTTGTCAAGAAATTCAAAGCAGTGTGATCTTCTTCAACCCCTCAACTTCTTTCCTCAGATTTCAAAGACACAACTCAGCATCAGGGCTTAGCATGAAAGCAACACTTTCCCTCACCAAAACCATTTCTCAAACTAACTTCTCGTGACTCCAAGGCATTTACTACACATTCACCTCTTTTCTATGTTAAAATTTCTCTTTTTTTCCCCTCTTGGCTTATAATATTCAATTTTCTCTATAAGAACAATCAAAATTTGCAAAATCTGTTACCCTTTCTTTATCTTTTTCTCTTTTTCCCACTACAGTTATATATGCATGCAGGCATATATGTGTGTGTCCTCCGAAGCATGTGTGTGTGTGTGTGTGTGTAAAAGTTCACTTCCTCACTTCCATGTTTTCCTACAAGCTTGTGCAGTCTACCTCTCTTTCCATGCTACTTCTGTAAAGAGTAGAAGGATACTGAAGGGTGATCAGCAGTTCCAAACGGGTACTGCAGCAGGTTAGGAAGACTGTTACATAACACAGTCATCAAAGATCCTCCTGAATTCACAAACCACTGGCAACTGAAATTCTAACAGAATGCTAACAACTAATGTGGCAAAGGATAAAGACTGATACAGAAGAGACGGGCAGATGAAGCAAAATACACTTGTAAACTCCCTTCAAATGACTGCCTTATCCCAAGAACTACCTATATTAGAAAATTCTAAGAAAGTCAATAGATGCGACAGGGATACAGACAAAAGATAGAAAGAAGATTACAATTGTAGTTTTCTGTTATAGGAGATACTAAATTTAAATTTTATTTTGCCATCCAGTTTTCTATTCACAATGTTCATTAAGTAACACTGGGTGAGTCTTTTGCATTAAATACAACAATCAAATATTTTCCATCTTGTTTTTTCATATGAAAACAGCTCTCGATGATTATACCTGACAGTTTGGGAATGAGATAAATGAATTCTTACCTTAAAAACAAGTTCTCCTACCAATCCATTCCACGTCCCATCTTCCTGTGGGCTTCCGTATTTGTGGTCGGGCGCAACATAAATTTCATAGTTAAAACCCAGGTAGTTAGATAGGGCATCCAAAACATCAATGGAGAAGCCCTGGTATTTCTTCGGTTTTCCCAGGACATTTTCAGAGACCATTACAAAAGGCTCCTCCTACATGGAAGAAAAATCTTGATGTCAATCAACATTGCTCCCTAAAAACAAGAGCTCATTCTTTAAAGAGTCTAGCTGACAAAGTCTAAACACAATTTCCTGCTTTGAAAAAATTAGCTTGGGAATAGGGTTTATACATTATTGATGCATTATGCTATTGAATTGTGTTTAATCACCCAGGTCCTTGTCATCTCTCATTTTATCATTGTCAGATCAAAACTGGGAGGAATGCAACTAAACTTTCCAATAGTGTTATTTCCTTGAGGTATGGGTACTACTTAAGATTCATCAGCAATGTAATTGATTTTGAGAAGCTATGGTTTTCTGTCTCCATTGGACGTTATGTCTACCTATGTAAAAATAGATAAAAATGCTAACACATGTACAAATCTGAAAATAGTAAATCTTCAAAAGATATAGTTTAAGTAAAATTTAGAATATCACACATACTGGAAGTTATTTGGCAAGTAGTTTTATTACTTTGATATAAACGTATTTCACTACAAAAACAGCTCTGGTACTATGACTACTATTTTTTTTTAAAAAAAATCATCTCTTTGATGAACTTATTTATCAAATTTGACAAACTGGCTTCATACCCTGTATTTTTTTATCTTTTCACATGCTTTTTTTTAAAAAAAAAAGTTACTGAATTTGGTACAGTTCACTTGTATCCCAAAATGACCCTGACTTAATCATCTTCCTGGTTCACCTCCAGGGTGTTGGGATTACAGGAATGAGCCACTACTCCCAGTCTTTGTGGTGATGGGGACTCAACCTAAAGCTTCAGGCCTGTTACACCAGCACCCTCTCCTATGTCTCAGTTTAATCCTGGTAAACCTGGCGTATAGGTTGCTTCTGCTTCAGAGCAGGTGTTAAGAGTGCATTTGTTTGAAAGCGTGCTGGCAGATGACAGAAAATTCAAATCCAAAATGGTTAATAATCTCAATGTATGGCTGTATGTTCTGAATCTGATAGTGAAGAAAGTAGAGACTGTACCTGAACTTTATTGTAACAGAATGGGAGTTTCTGAACAGGATTCTGATAGCATAGACACTAAAACCAACAATTGACAAATGGAAACACAAGACTAAAAGGATTGTGTAGAACAAAGGACACCAACATATTAGTGGAAAGGCAGCGTAAAGATGGAAAAAAATCTTTACAAGTTGTTTATCTGGAGGCTAATATAGAAAATATAGAACATATCAAAAGAGGTAGACAACTCAATGTTCAGACATGGCCTGTAACTAAGAAGAGAATTTGCAAGAAACTCAAATGCCTGAGGAAACATTTTAAAATATTGAACACAAACAAGTAACAACAGACTATTATGAATGATGGAGAGAAAATGACAACATATTTCAGTTCTGGTAGGAGTGTAAACTGATGTAGTCACTATGGAAATCTGTATGGTATTCCTCAAAAAGTGAGAATAGCTGATATTCATCTGGAATCCTATCAGATAGCTTTTATAATGTTTAAAGGTATTGCTCTTACTGCTAGGATACTATTAGGAAAGAAAAGTAATCATCAGTCTCATCCAGCCATGAACCCTTTGAGCTCCTACAAGGATCTGCCTGGCAAGATAGACCTCTATTGCCATAGTGTCATGAATGTTATAGGTGTTACCAACCTCTTTTCTTTTCCCTTTCTTTCTTTCTTTCTTTCTTTCTTTCTTCTCTTTTTCTTACAGTTAAAACATACTACATGAGATCAAATCCTTACCTGACACTGTCAAGAGAACAAGAACTTGTAACTAAGTAAGTCATCGGCCCTAGGGTAGAAACTACTACTATTATTCCACTAAACAGATATATCAATAAAAATATTCGGAATGACCTACTGTTGTACCTATAGATCACTACACTACTTAGCCATCATCAGGGAAGCTTCTTCTTGCAGTAGATGGTCACTAGTGGAGGTGCACAACTGGCCAAGAGTAGGGAATAAGAGACTTTACAGTGCCATAAATATTGTGCCTCTATTACATTCCTCCTCTCAAAGCTCATGAATCTTCATTGAAGGTGCTGATCAGAAAGATAGTGAGAGCCATAAGTTGTGATGAGTTCACGGAAACACTGTTTTCTAGATATAACAGTACAGATGCACACATGAACTAACAATGATTGTGGTAGCATATGCAAGTCCTGAACAAGCTCAAATTAGACAAGATCTGGAGAGGGAGGGGAGGAATGTAGGAAGTCCCATTCCTAGCTGAAAATACAGCCAGTGAGAGAGAAAAAGTAGTTTTCTATAATGATGTGAACCCTGGTATAGCTATAGCTTTCACAATCTAGTGCAAGCCCTATATTTAGGAGTAGTTGACCAATATAAACTGCACTCAATGGGTTTTTATAAAACAGAAAAAGAGAATATGAAGTTGGATAGGTTGGAAAATGGGGAAGATCTAGGAAAAGATTAAGGTTGGATAAAATATCAAAATTTAAAATTATGGGATGAAAAATTTGTAAAAATAAAAAAGTGAAACATGTATTATACTTCATAACACAGTTTCCAATAATGTATTTTAAATATAAAATTAATAAATTGTAGACAATAATATCTCAGTACATGATTTTATGTGAAGTGCTAGCTATCCCATTTCAGCTTTGCTGACAGCTCTAAATCTGATAGTGAAGAAAGTAGAGACTGTACATGAACTTTATTGTAGTAGAATGAAAGTTTCTGAAAAGGATTCTGATTGCATAGACACTAAAACCAACAACTGACAAATGGAAACACAAGACTAAAAGGATTGTGTAGAACAAAGGACACCAACATATTAGTGGAAAGGCAGCCTAAGGATGGAAAAAAATCTTTACAAGTTGTTTATCTGGAGGCTAATATAGAAAATATAGAGCATATCAAAAGAGGTAGACAACTCAATGTTTCAGCATTCTCCATTTCTATATAGTTTTGTTACTCCCCCCTTGTATTAAACATATATTCTGTTCTCACACAATATTATCTGAATACCATTTTCCCTCCCTCTACTCCTGTTAGTTTCTTGCAGCCTCCTTTCCTATCTGGATCCACTCCCTTTCTGTTTCTCATTAGAAAAGTAAAGTCTTCTAAGAGATAACAACCAAATAGAACAAAAGAAACTATAGTAAGACAAAAAAAAAGCATCATATCATAGTTGGACCAGTAAATTTAAAAGAAAAGTAGCCATCAGAGAAATACAAATCAAAACAACTCTGAGATTCCATCTTACACCTGAAAAAAAATGGCCAAGATATAAAACAATGGTGGCAGCTTATACTGGAGAGGATGTGGAGTAAAGGGACCACTCCTGCATTGCTTGTGGAAGTGCAAACTTGTACAGCCACTTTGGCAATTTCTCAGAAAATTAGGAAACAATCTACCTCAAGACCCAGAAATGTCACTGTTATGTATATACCTTAAAGAAACTCAATCATACCACAAGGACATGTGCTCAACTATGTTTATCTCAGCATTTATTGTAATAGCCAGAACCTGGAAGCAACCAAGATGCCCCTCAAGTGAAGAATAGATAAAGAAAATGTGATACATTTATACAATGGAGTACTATACAGGGGTAAAAAAATGACATCTTGACATTTGCAGACAAATCAATGGACCTAAAAAAAAAACATATTGAGTGAGGTAACCCAGACCCAGAAAGACAAATATAATAGTTTTGCATGCATAAGAGGATTTTAGACATAAAGCAAAGACCAGCCTACAGGCCACAGTCCCAGAGAACTTAGACAACAAAGAGAACCCTAAGAGAGACATACATGACTAAATATAAAAAGGTGAAAAAGACAAGGTCTCCTGAGTAAATTGGGAGCATGGGGGTCATGGGAGAGGGTAGAAGGGGGAAAGAGACTAAGGGAGAGGAGTGGGAAAAATGTATAGCTCAACAATAACAAAAAATTTAAAGAGAGAAATAAAAGAGCCTCAAGAGAAGGCACAAGAATGAGAGACCCACTCGTTTACACGTTCAGGATTCCCATAAAAGCACTAACAAAAGGTTATATAGTATATATGCAAAGGAACATGATACAGACACATGTAGGCCCTCTGCTGCTTCAGACTCTGTGATTTCATATGAGGTTGTTTTAGAGCAGTGTTTTCAACCTTCACAATGCTGTGGCTCTTTAGTAGAGATTCTCATGCAATGGTAATCCCCAACCGTAAATTTATTTAGTTGCTATTTAATAACTAGAATTTGCTACTGTTATGAATTTTAATGTAAATATCTACTATACAGGATATCAGATAAGTGGCTCTTCTCCAAGGGGTTGCAACCCACAGGCTGAGAGCAACTGTTTTAGAAGTAATTGTTCTCCAGGTGTAGTCCACTGCTTCTGTCTCCCCAGTGTTTTAGCTTCTTCTTTCTGGTGGTTCGCATGTATGCCCTCTCTCTGTGTGTAAAATATCAGAATGGGGATCTCTGTATTTGCTCCTATATGCTCCTATATGCTATAGATATGCTACAGAAGAAAGCTTCTCTGATGATGGCAGAATAAATATAGTAGAATATTATTAAGATTTACTTTATTGTTATTTTTTTTAAAGTAGTATTTGGTTTTTACCCTAGGTCTCTGAGATATCTATACTTGTCTTCACGGTCCCTCAATCAATGTCAGGTGTGTGTTCTATCTGATGGAGTGGGCTTTAAGTCAAATCACATTTTTGATCATCAGTTGGTTAGGCCCTCGAGGTTTTGCTACCATTGCCCTAGCATATTTTGCAGGCAGTACTGATTGTAGAGGAAAGGTTTTGTGATTGGGTTGGTGTTTCCTTTTCTCTTTGGTAGCCTTCAGAGTACTTTTCTATGTCACAGACACTAGAATATGGAAGTTAAAGGCTGCTCTGTATAGGCAATAACTCAGTCTCTCTAAGTTCAATGATGTGTGTGTGTGTGTGTGTGTGTGTGTGTGTCTTTTGTCTCTAGCAATGGGGTATTGCTGAAATTTGTGGAGAGATACCTATTGTCCTGATAACAGCCTGGGTTGTTTGGGGATTTC